TTTATTTATTTTTTAAATATACATTAACAGATTTTTGCACCGGGGCCCTGAGGTTTCTAGTTACAACCCTGGTAGTGTATGTATGTGTATAGGGAATCTAGTGTGTTTAGGGGACGTAGTCTGTGTTTATAGGAGAATGTGTGTGTAAGGGATGTAGTGTGTGTAAGGGAGTAAGTGTGTGTGTGTATAAGGGATGTAGTTTGTGTAAGGGGGGAAGTGTGTGTTGTAAAGGGGGGAAGTGTGTGTATAGAGGATCCAGCGTATTTGTGTCTAAGGGATGTAATATGTGTATAGTGGATGCAGTGTATGTGTGTAAATGATACAGTGTGTGTGTAATCCAGACGTGGACCCCGTACTCACTGTACCTAAAGGGTTAACAGCTACACCAGGGCTGATCCTAGGGTCACAGACACTTGAGTGCAGAATTTCTTTGGGTGCCCCCAGGTGGGCGTGGTCATCTTTACTAACTCCTCTCCTTTGCAATGACTCCACCTCTCCATCTAGGCACACACTAACTGACAGTCACACTCACTGATTTGACACACACTGGCAGAAACATATTCAGACTCATTGACACACACTCTCAATGACAGATACACAATCTCACTGATTTGAAACACTCACTGACAGACATAAATGCTGACAGATACACACATACACACTTACTGTCAGACACTCACACACACTGAGAGACACTCTCAATGACAGACACACACTCTCACTGTTTTAAAAATGCTCACTGGCAGACACCCTCACACTGACAGACAGAGCCGGCCTCAGACCGTTAGGCGCCCTGTGCGAATAATCATCACAGCACCCCTGCCTGGCCCTTTCCCTTGCCCTACCTAAAGGTATTTCAACATATAAGCCAAAACAATATATATTGGACAATATAGCTGATCTGAAAAGAAATTAATTGGATATTTTTTTCCATTTCAGCTGTTTTGGAATAGGTTAGTCCTTATCATGCCAATAGATTAGAATAAACATTTGTGTGTTACTTCATGCCTTCTAATCTAAAATGTGGTTCTCCAAGGAACTGACCACATCTCCAGATATACGTCGTACCCAAAACAAGGAAGTCCAGCACTCAGCGTTCTAAATCACAACATACATAATAACACAATTACACACACACTGCCCCATGCATACCCAGACAGTCACACACAATACAATATACACACACAGTCACACTGCCATATGGACACTATCGGTCACATACACAAACATATACACAGCCAGTCACATACTTACACAATATAAGTAACAACAGTCACTTAGTGTCACATACATACAGTCCTTGCTTTCATGAGCACTAGGAGGAGGAGAGGAGGCCAGGGTCCCTAGTGTTGGGGAAGCAGGCATTCCTTTCTACTTCCCCTCTGTGCAGCTGCGGTTCTAGACTTGATGACGCCCTCTTAAACAATTATCTCTAGAACCTCATTTGTATAAATTGTTTTTTTAATGCAAAGCTTCTATGTGAAATAGTTTTCCTTATTTCAGTTTGTTGTAAATGTACAGTGATCCCATATATACATTAATGCACATACATATAAACCCACAGATCATCTCTCATACATACATAGACATGCGCACATCCACATACATACACAGACACACACTGTCACATACATAGGCACATATCAACATACACATTCACATACATATATACATACATACATACCGGGTTATTTACAAAAGCGAGAATTGTCAGGAATTCATAGTAGATTTCAAAGTGGATGACAGAATAGTCAAACTAGAAGCATTGAATTCCTGACAACTGTTTTAGTGAATAACCTTGTCAGACATGAATTAACACCCCATCACAGACACACATCATCATGGACACAGACACACCAAAACACAGTCACAGGGATACACGCATTAAACAGTAACAAACATTTATTTAAAAAAAAACAGGCACATACATCAAAATACACACAAAGTCCCTGTAACAGAACTATGCCTTTGTCTATGTGTTTTGCCTGGACTTATATATATATATATATATACCGCTGAATGTATTACAAAAAACCGAATGACTATTTCGTGGAAGTATCCCTACTGAAGAATACAGCTCAAAATACCGAACATCGGACCACCCAGGGGAACAGTTAATTGGTATTTTACCTCCTAGCGCTTTTGGAGCCGTTCGCATGGTTTCATACGAATTCTTTTGTGCTCAGGTTAGATGGCCGCCATTTCGGGACTTTACACATGTTCGCGGCCATCTTACGTACGAACGGCGGTGTTTGCCTGTGAACGCATGGAACTTAAAACGGATACACAAACAGGCGAACACCGCTGAGACCTCCAGGAGCTCGTAAGTTCGTGCTGGAACTACCGAACAACCGGCCGTTCGGTAGTTTTGTTTAAGCTCACATGGGGATTCTAGCGAACACCAGGATGACTGTGGATGGCAAGGGGTTCGTGGGGTTTTAATGCACGAACGGAGACCGACCGCAAGGCCAAAACTTATGGAACTCTTTTCGGCTAGAAAACCTGTGCGGTCGGTCAAAACTTCAAAGATCCATAACTCCCGAACCCCTCAACCGAATGGGCTGAAATTTGGACATGTTGTTCCCCTGAGTGAGAGCTATCAAGCCTTTGCTGGACTTAAAGGTGTACCCCCTGTTTTTGGGGTACATCCAGAATTTGGTTAAAATTGTGTCTGTTTTAATTATGTTATATGTTATCTGAGGGGAGGAGACGTGGGGGTTGAACCATGTATCTAATTGGCTGTTGTGTTAATTATGTGGGTGTAGCCTTTCAGAGGGCACCATTGCATAAAAGGAGACCCCTGTCAATAAACATCAGTTCTTCTTGACCCTTCAAAACATAGCCTCGTCTCGTTCTTGGAGGGGATTTATGGTACCGTTACTCTGCCTCATTTTACAGCACTGCCGGATTATACACTTGGATATCGTGGATGGGAATAAGAACTCCATTACTTCACAGCAGCTTGCCTAGAAAAGGACGTCTCCAACGGCAGATATCCCTCTCCAGCTGGGTAGCCGTTACATTGGTGGCAGCGGCGGGATGGTCCTTTTCATCCCCAAAGCAAGTGCTGAATGGAATCCCAGTACGCTAAACTGAAAAGACCTACACTAAAGGATCTATTGGAAACCAGAGGAAGGAGTGCCAGCAACTGACCACGGAGAGAGCTGATAGCTGACCTACTGGAGCTGGACGAGATGGATCGATCCATGGAGGTCGCGAACCAACCTACCCCTGTCAGCGAGGAGGAGGAAATTACAAATCTTGTGCAGCGGAGATTATCCATGTACCCAGCAACATCCGTGGAACTAATAGATCAGCTGTTCCGGGAAGCAAGACCGGAGATACAAAACAGGAGGGGACACGAACTTGAACTGGCAAGAGCTAGACAGCCCATTGCACATACAGTTCATACTCCCCCACCCACTGCTACAGGGCAGAAAATACCATTCACTGCGTTTAAAGCGTTTGTGGAAAGTGAGGAAGAGATTGACGGATATTTGGCTGACTTTGAGAGGCAGTGCTCACTACACCAGATACCACCAGACCAATGGCTATCCGGAAAAGCAAATGAGACTTTTCGGGCGCTTACTGAGGAAGATATTGCACAGTATCGATGGGTGATGGCTGCACTGATCACCAGATATGCCATTGTTGTAGAATTATAGAATTTATAAGAGAATGCTTTGTCAGGAAGAAATGTGCGTCAGCGGAACAATGTGTTCATCAAGAATGAAACATTGTGGCCGCTGAGCGACATGTTGATCTCAATAAAGTATATGTCAGCTGAATAATAAAATGTGTATCTACTAAAAAACCTTGAAAACTAAGCTTGAAACTAATAATGCCAACTACTCAAAATTGCTGCCAAAGCACCCCTCCCATCGAGTGGACACCTCGTGCTTGTGTCCACTCCCGTGTCAAGGATGACATCACCTCTTGATGGGAGGGCATCTAACTAACCACTTAACACCTGGACCAATTATTAATGTTTATTTGCTGTTATCTTGAATTCTTCAGTGATGTGATAATGCCTTTAAAAGGGTCTGCGCACCCATTTTCTGTTAGAAGCCATTAAACTTCTCCGAAGTTCTTTCATTAACCTGAACCCTGTGTCTCAGTGTGAATTTACTTCTGCGTGCACGCAACTTTATTATCTTTAATTTGGACAGGAACAGATAGTCATTCAAACTTATTGGTTTGCAGAAAATAATCTACTACACCGTCACCCCAGAAACGTATCGCCGTCGCTTCCGGGAGTCTAAAAAGAAGGCTGCAGACTCCCACATGGAATGGGCAAACAAGATACAAAGGGTGGCATCACATTGAGTACGAGGGGGCAATGCCAACACCGGAGAGGACGTACTACAGCTATTCTTAATGGAACATTTCTTCCAAGATCTGGCTGCGGACATACAGGACTGGGTGAGAGTTCGCCGCCCTGCTAACTTAATCGAGGCAGCGCGGCTAGCGGACGAATACACAGAGACAAGAAAGGTGAGCCAGGGGACCACACGACCAACACCTAGAGCAGAGCCACGCACCCCAACGCCTGCTGCACGCACAGAATTTCGCGCCCCAGTACCCCCAGGGCCTCCGCGTCCTTAGGGGTCTAACAACCAACCCCGGGAGTCTTACAAAATTACGTGCCATCGCTGCGGCAACACGGAGCATATTGCCCGTTATTGCCTCTTGGGATCAGCCAATAACAACTGGAGGCGCTCAACCACTAACACCGAGACCCCACCATCACACACCTCTCCTGCTCACTGCCTGGAAACCGAAGGGAGCCCTGAGGAGTGTTTGGGCATCCTGTACGAGGCAAACCCCATACAAGCTGTATCCCCAGATAACTGCCAGCATCACCGCCAGGAGGTGCGTGTAAATGGACAGGTAGCACAAGGCCTAAGGGACACTGGCGCTACCATCACTTTGGTGCAGAAACATCTCGTGAAACCGGAGGATGTATCTAACCGTACTGTTGCTGTCCGGGTCGCAGGGGGAGCTGTTTTTTGCTTACCCACCGCCCGGGTACACTTGGATTGGGGAGTCGGGTCGGGAAAGACCACAGTAGGAATCATGGACAATTTACCTGCTGAAGTCGTGTTGGGCAACGACATTGGCCCTCTAGCTTCAGCTTATTAACCCACGACTGCTGCTGCTTGTCCCGTGACCACCCGCTCACAGACCCGTATCGAGGAAGATCCTCCAGCAGGCCGGGAGACCCAGGTAAGCCACGAGCAGACACTCAGCCCTAACACAGTAGAAAGACCCATGGCTTGGGACACCCCAGAGGAGTTTGGGAGGGAAACTAGAAAGGAACTTCTCCGAATTGGACACGACATTCCGTTGGCAGGGCACACACTGATAGACACACACACACCCATTCACTGACAGACAACCACTTGCTTGAAAGACACATACTCACATAGTTAAAAATAATAAGGTGCGCTGTGTCTTTAAGACCCAAAAATATATAAAGTGCAACTAAGTGCAAACAAATTGATAAAGTGCAAAGTGATACAAAGTGCACTTAAAGTGTAGAATATCAGTATAAAATATTATACATACATATGGCCTCTCAACTCCAAATATACATAGAAAGGAAAAGAGACATAAAAAAACCAATAGTGTGAAACCGTATTAAAATGGTAGTATGGATAATAAATGCCAAATATTGCACTCACAAAAGTAGAGCAGAATAAGCCTGCTCTAGCTTTAACAGCTTCTTCAAATGTAGGACTGCACAGCCGAAAAAATATTCCAAAATCTTTCTTGCCCAGCACAGCACCAATATATCACCTTCCTCCACACTTAGTATTCAGTTACAGAGCCTTCGGTAGCATACAGCATAAGGGTGTCGACCTGTCCCTCTGCGGATTCGCCGCCGTAATTGCCGTCTGTTGGCCGTCTGTTTCCTCAAACTTCCAGGGGGAGGAGCTTTCTCGGGTGCGTGACGTCAGGTGCGTAACTTTACGTGATGTTTAGTGGATAGGTGAGTGCGCTGGATCTTGTGTATTGTATTCAGCGCACTCACCTATCCACTAAACATCACGTAA